TATTACGTTTTATGTCATTCTTCACTCAGCCACAAAATTTCTTTCATTTTCGTTACTGTGTCGTGTAGAATCCATCGATGGTAGTACAGCTAGTATGTTAGTCTTTGTCCGATTAGATTATTGACTTTGTTCCTCATATGTGCATCTCTGAGAAAATTCCATTGTTCATGGCTTTATTGATTTTTGAAGCAACAGTCTCAGCAGAGTTCTTACCTTCGACACTAGCATAAAAGTGTGACTGAACAAAAACCCACCTTCGAAAGCGGCTAGAAAGGGAGGAACGGCCATCAAAGAGGGCGTGGGTGCTCAGTCGGTTGACGATATTGCAGCTTACTGAGCAGCCACACCCATTTCGAAGCCGTTTGGCTCGTTGAAGATAAAAACCCTGCTGGGCTGTTGCTTTGAGCATCTGTGACTTTTATCACGGTGAAAAAAGCGACAACATGGTGTAGGAACTTTGTACGCGCTAGATACTGCTACAAATCGTTACATTTCATGCTGTGATGTCAAGATTTCACATTTGTTGCTTGTGTTTCGTCAAGTTTTCCCATGCTCCTTTTCCTCATTAACTTTTCCTACTACTTCGAGTTCACATAAACACTTCGAAACACAGTATTGCTGCATACTATATGCACAAGATTACTGTCATTCACAAAAAAATCTGTAATAGAAAACATTTTTGAAGTAGACCTCCATGCAGCGAATCGGATAGCCCAGATCAATGATATTAACAATAACACTTAGGTTCCTTACCATACTGTATTGCTTGGAAAGTTCCCGCTAATGACCCTAAGATTTAAAAGCGCTTTAAACAAAACATTTCATTGGAATGAAAGCAACTACATCCGCATTTGATTTATTTCTTATAACATTCGCGAGGCGAACTGCGGCCAAAAACAGCAGTTAACAAACAAAAACAAGTCAAAATCATTGCTAAAGCTTTCAGCCTCGCGGTCATTGCCGATATCGGCTAACCGGCTCAACACGTTATACGTGTGAGTGCTGAAAGCTATGGTACGTATACCATGAAAAGCTGAGTTGGAATGAAATGGTGCCCCGGTAGCGTAACTGGTAGCGCACTTGCCCGGAAAGCGAGAGGTGCGGGTTCTAGTCCCGCCTGGGGCGAAAGTTTTGTTCACAACCCAGCATTCTTGTGAAACATTCGCAAGGCGAACTGCGGCCAAAACAGCAGTTAACAAATAAAAAGCGAATACAAATTTGCTCCTGTCAGCAAGACTTCCATAGATCTGTAATGTGCTGAAGTTCTGTGCGCGAAGAAATTGGCAAAGGTTGATCCACCACCTTGTTGAATTTTGATACGTGAACTTTTTAGACCAGTGCCAGATTTTGTGTATCCAAAGATTCGCTGGTCTTAAAGAAACTATTCAGGTAGAGGTTGGGAATGTGACAGTGAGACCGTGTAAGTAATGTGCAAAATATTCTCAGCAAAATTTCGCAGCTCGGCTAGTTCAACTTGTGCAGAGTTGGTAGTGCGAGATAGGGCTTCGCAACTATGGGGAAAGATTCGGCGGCATCCACTCCTTCGGACTTTTCACCCTCATCTGTGCATGTATTTGGGAACCCCACGTCGGTTACACTTAATCCGGAAGCGGCCCTTTGAACAGTTCCACGCAGATTTAGTCTGATCAAGTCCATCAGGTAACCCAGGTCCTTGTCAGTTACGGATATCCGACCACCCCCTCCCCCCCTCCCCAAGCTCCTTCGTAGTTTTCACCATTGCGAGAAAGACATTGAATCTGCGACTGCACAGCGTTATATTTGCGCATTTGGGACCAAACACTCAGTTGATATCCGAACACTTCCCGCACTTCTCACCTTAATTTGAGGGAATATAAGAAACTCGTGCAAAATAACCGTTGTGTGTGTTGTGTAGTACAGGACTTAGAAAAAGAGGGGAAATATGGTCCAGTGTAAAAAGAACAACATTCAAATAGGACGAGATATGCGCTTTCTAGTAATGCATAAAATGTTAGCAGTTCCTTGGGAGTGGTTCGAAAATAGTTCATTTAAAGTTCTGCTACTAATTTTCCAAACAACCCACTACATAATGCGCCATGTCTATTTCTTTAGTTGGCTGTCTGTCACGAAATTCGGTATTCCCTACAATAATTTGAAAAGGCTGGGTCAAGCTCGAAACAAGTAGGGCATGGCTCAGAATGTGTGGAGTTTACATGGGCTGAAGGGAGCTATTCTGATGCCTGTCGTGTAATCGTAGAATTGCATGTAAACATCCAGCCGCTTTATGGAGTTCCTTTGTTCAGTTTTCGTTATGGATCAGGAAATGAAGCATCCTCCTAAAGCTTGAAAACACATCACCTAATT